TTTCTTTTTGTTTCTTCAGCATGCTTACTTATTTTGATAATGCATCCAGGATCCCAATTTGGGTTAACTAACAGCTGAAGAGATCTGGTAGCCCCAGAAGAGATAGGGAATGTACAATGTATAAATCTTTCAATAATGTTAGAAGGTCAACAAGGCTGAGGTGAGGTGTGGGTTACACCAAAGCAAAGATTAATGTCAGCAGGCCACTCCCTGCCATTCTTCTTGTCTGGAAGAAGGAGATGAATTACCACTTTTTTTTTTTTTTTTAATGAGCAGGTTAGCCCATCTTCTCAATCCCATCAGAATGAAAGCTCCAGGAATATAGAAACTATTTATGTCTTGCATCTAGAACAGACCCCAGCACAGAGTAGGTGCTGAATCAATCTGCTGGCAGAATGAATATGTATCATGTCTGTTGTGTGGCAGACCAATTGAAATGACACCCCAAATGATAACCGTGGGAACAGTGACCTCCTTGACTTGGGAGACCTTTTGCTCAGGGCAATCCAAAAGGTTTGCGGCAAGCCTTGAGGTTAGGTTCAAAAGTCCCAAATCAGACAGCAGACCAATTGCCAGCTGAGTAAGGGGCAACCAAACACTGCCCTGGAATAGTAGCCCCAGAGCCTGTGGGAGTGACAGAGAGCCCACTGAGTTGCACAGAGTGAGTATGTGGGTTGTCAGTGACCTTGGAGGCCCCAAATATCGATGTCAGTAGTTAAATGTTTACAGTCCTCTTTAATTAAAGTTTATTTGACAACTTGAGAGAGAAATCAAAAGATATCCTCTAGAGTATATTTCTAGGGGTCCCGGGAGTGCTGAAGTCAAAGGAGATGTGATAAAAATCCAGAAGGAAACCTGGGTCCTTTTTACAACTGCTCCCTGACAAAGGGTCACACTGGTAAAACTCACTCTGGAGACACCAGGGGAGGCAGGTGCTTTATTCATCCATCCTGTTCATTACACCTCCTGTTCTGTGCCATGCAGCCCAAGACAGACTGGCTCTGACCCTCACAGGCTTGAAGGATACATGTCACTTTCTACTCCTTGTCGTCCTTTCAATCCTAAGGATACAATTTTCCAGAAGAGAACTTTCAACAGAGAAGTATTTGAAGGCAAATAGAAAGGTAGGTTGAAAACGATTAGCTGACAATTCTAGGAACAAAAGAAAGCATAAGGGGAGCCAAGAGAAAATTTTCCAAACAAAAATGAAGAGATGAGGAAGAAACCTAAGAAAGGCAGGCAAATGAAAGATTTTAAACTTTCTGCTGCATCTTTCCCTTTATTTCCTACTAATAAGAATCTGGCTTAGATAGCTTAGGTATAGAAGTCAACGAGACAAGTACAGACTAATACAGGCCAAACTTCTAGATCATGATTCCCACAGACAGGAAAGCCACACTTGGGGGTGGCGGGCGGGGGGGGGGTCAAAGGAGGAGGGGAGGAAGAGGGGGAGGAGAGCTGATTCTTTTTAAGAGAAAGACAGGATTCTATTATTTTAAGAACTGCCAATTAATGAGTACCCACTATGCCACAAGGCATGATGCAGATGTTTTAAATTCATATTCACTACCTTTTATGGTACATTTTATTATGTGCTTAACAGATGACAAAACTAGGAGGTTAAGTAACTTGCTCAAGGTCATAAAGAAAAGAAGAGGCAAAGCTGGATTCTAACCTAACTCTCTGACTCCTAAGTTTGAGTTTTTTCCCACAATACTGCCTATATAACATATATTTGTTCAGTGATAGAAGAGTGACAATATTAGATTTCTCTTCAGGGAGCAATTTCCCAAGAATGTATTTTCCATTTAGCTGTGCCTGAATTATTGATTTGTTTATAATTGCCATCTTTTAACATAAAGATCTATGTTCAATTTGGGGAATAAGAAGCCTATTAGAATGATAGTTTTCTTCATGACAACTATAACGTATATCAATTAAAATGAACATAACTTCATAACAGCCTGGCCAGGTGTTGCTAAGTACTATGATACCACATGCAACATCTGTGAGAATCTTCACAAAAATTACAAATGATATGCCAGGCGAGCTGCTCTTTCTGAATCTATGCTTTCTGCAAAAAACTTCAAAAATCTCCATATACTATAATGAAAGCAAGTACAAACACAGCACCACAGAGGGAGGAGGTGAGGATGAGACTAGCTCGAATATGAGTAAAGCAACAGGAAGCAGAATTATGGAGTAGAAATTATGGAGATGAAACTACCCCAGTATCGGGGGTACATCAAATATTACAATTTTTAAGTAGCTTCAATAATCTAAAAGTTCTACAGAATCTATCCCTACTTATCCAGTTAAAGAAGAAAACAGGCATCTGTTTTTCCGTCTGAAAATTTATAATTAATGCAGGGCAAGGGATCACAGCCAGCCTCCCCCAGCAGAGCAGTTACCTCCAATAACACGCTGTTTCTCTGGTTACAGTGAATAATCCTTTTTGCTGTCTTTTTTGACAAAAATTATTCATCTGTTATTGGCATGTTACCAGGGAAAAAGAGCTGAGCTGAGCTGAACTTTCAGTGATTTTTTTAAATTCTATAATCAAATAGCAATTATACTACAATCTCATAAACTATCGACCTTTACCCCTCCCTCCTCAATTGTGCCCCAACGTTTTGAAGACCAGAATCAATAGATGAAAACTGGCTTTCCATGAACCCTTTGAATATCTAAAACCAAAGGAAAGATGGAAGACAGATGAGGTGAGGCAGAGAGCTTAAAGCTGAAGTGACTAAGGTACCAGAAAAATTGTGATAGATTTCTCAACACCATGGCAGGGAAGTCCCCTAAATGTCCAATATCTGGCCCTTTCAAATGGACTGGATCAACCGTTCTCAACTTTGGTTGATGTAACATCATTTAAGCAGATTTTACAAAACCTTTGCCTGGGTCCCACCTCATAGAAATTCTTACTTAATTAGCCTTGAATAAGACTCAAGCATCAGTATGCTTTAGAAACTCCCCAGGTGACCCTACTGTGCAGAGATCCACCAACCCAAGTGAATAAATGTAAACCATATTGGCAAGGTTTTAACATCATTTTCGCCTCACCTGGAGAAAAAAATCCTAAAATTTCTAAACACCAAAACATGATAATATCAAGAAACAATAGCAACAAACAATAACAATACACAATGGCAACAACAACAACAAAAACCTCTTCCAAAACCTAGGAAAGGAAAGAGGGTAGAAGAATGTTGCATAAAATCTTTTCTCTGTCCCCCTCCTGTAGGAAGGCAACATTTACCAATGCTAATCATTAGACATGGTGCCGGGTACACAAATATGACATCAGACATGAATTCCCCATTTTACAAATGAGGAAACTGAGCCTCAGAGATGTGAAGGAACTTCCCTAAGGCCAAAGAACAGATAAAGACAAAGACTGAAATCGGTCCCAGATGTATCTCAAGTCCAAAGCTTTTTTCTCTTCTCCACATCTCCCGGAATATTTCTTTGCACTTGTGAACTTAACATGTGCTGAGACAGAGTGTAATTTTAGCATCATTTTCCACTGTAGGACCTTGAAGAGTTCATTCTAAGGAACTTAATCTGTAGCTCTCCTGGCAATTAGCAATCTGACATTGGCACTGCATAGGTAAAGGGGAGAAATATATAAAATAAGATTGGAGGGGCAGGTAGTAGACTAATGGTAAAGAAGTTTGAATGCCAAGGAAAGAGTGTGGAATGAATGAATGTATTAATTAACAAATCTACCTGTATTGAGTATATGCCCTGGGTTGGACAGAGAGAATTCTCTAAGGGCTAGACAACAGGGAGATAGTTATAGGTTTTAGAATTACTGTATCTAAGTGGCAATCTAACATGCCAAACCAGAAAACAAACTACAAGAAAAGAAAAACATCAAAATACTCCTTTTGCATGGTATAAGCAGGAAAAAAAACCCAACAACCCAGAAACATTATGAATAAACCCACATAAGACTCATTTACCATTCTAAAAAATAAACTCTGAAAAGAAATTAGCATTATTTTAAGTCAAATATTTTTTATGTTATTTTTTATCATAGCTGTAGTAGAATTTTTCTAAAGGCTGAATTTAGTAGCTGATAAAATACAATTCTCCCACCCAGGACAGATGGTCAGCATGACATCCTAAGATTGGAGTCATTTATTAGCATATGTCAGAGTTAACAATAAAAAACCTTAATGAATTATTAGTTTCCCTCAAGGTAGAAAGCATAGTCTCAAATTTAAACAAACAAATTAAGAAATCAGAAAAGAGAAATTCAGTCTCCCATAAAGCCAAATACCCGGTTAAAACTCTAGATTAAATACACAAATTAATAAGAAAAAAAAGTACATAAAGCTGAATAAAAAAGGAAAGGCTAGGTTATTTTTCTTTTATTATTCCAACAGGATGATTACATACTTTTCTTTTTTTTTTTTATAAAACAACTTGCTTTTCTCCACTTTTAAAGAGATATTGAAAATTAAGATAATTTAAAATCTTGCATACAAATGTATACCCATCACTTCCTACATATCTAAACGTGGAAGTTTCCAACGCTTTAAAAAATGTAAAGCATTAAATAGTGCGCCATTTGGAATGTCAGCAGGGAATGTATTTGACATGACATTAAATTAAGCAAATAAACTCAAGTAATAACTTCTTTAGTTATATTTATTATATCAAATATTTAGTTGTCTCGCTGTTTATTTCATTGTATAGCTTTTTTAACCATACATGTTAACCCTATGTGAGTGTGTTTGTGTGTGCACAGATGCACATGCGTGTGTGACTGCATGTGGTGACAAATTGATACACGTGTTCATTTTATTCTGGGTCCTAGTCTCATGGTCTCATGATTTCTTAATTTCTTTGGGTGTGACCAGAGTTAGCACAAATAAAGATAAATAGTCTCTATGAGATAGTAGCTCGTGATTTCTTTTAAAAAGTTTTCAAAGATTTTGTAACTTTTTAATTCTAGAAAAGAATTAGGACAATGACTCTTTACATACCATAATCTGTGATTTTACAGGACACCAAATACAGCTCTTTCAGGTTTTGTCCTTCCTTTGCAATGACCTCCACACACCTAAAACACACACGAAATAGTGGTGAGTTACATTAATGCATTTCAAGTTAAATTAGCAAGAGTTTGGCCGTGACTGTAACAGGAAGAGGTCAGCGTTTGATGAATGCCACAGCTCTCTTCTTTCAACAAACTTCTTTCAAGGTGTTTCAGGAAAAAGTGTTACGTTCCCTGCTTTAAACTCAAGAGCCCTAATACCTAAATGACTTTAATTAAGCATATTTATGACTAGTGTATATTTTAAAACCAAAGTGATGAAAAAGAGGTATTTCTATAAGAGTAATATCACTTTTAGTCATATACTAGTAAACACAGGCTATATAATGAACATGTCATTTATATAATAATATAAAAATTATAATGAAACTAGAATACAGATGGATGGTCATTATAGGTGGACAGTAATATTATTCATGGTTCAGTTATTAATGATGGAGTTTGGTAACACTAAAATACATATTTTGTGTATTTTACTCAATATAAACCAGAAATATTTAAAAATCTGATTATAGATGAAAGAAAAAATATGCACATGTAAGAACTTTAAGATCTTTTACTTTAAAATTTTTAATTCTTAATATTTTAAATGAATTGCATAGATACATAATATAGACATAGATATGTAAGATTTAAAGTCTTTTCTGGTTTCATTTAAGTTAAAAGGTTTTTGAATGGTGCACTCAGATTTAATACCCATAGCAGAACATGTACTACAGAATTGAATGAACTTTAAAAATAATGATTAACAATGCCATCCATTTTGTGGCTCAGTCTTCTATAATATCAGAAAAACCTGTGCAGTCATACTGACACATAGGAATATGCATCCTTCAATGTAGTCGCTGTTTTAATCTTTATAAATAACAGTTAAGTAAAAGGGTAAAAGCAAAAAGAGTCATTAACCTTTTCTAGGAAGTAAGGATCAAGTAATTTGATACCTGTGTGTATAATCCATCAAAAAATTACAGAGTATCCGTCTCTGTCTTGCAGATGTTTTATTCGCTGTCTGGCTTACTTGTAGGGATCTTCATAAAATGTCAGAAAATTTTATACAATTTTACTTCACATAATTCATTACTGAAGGTTAAATTAGTTATAAAGAAGACATTCTTTCCTTTAAAATATTTTTATAGAATATTGTTTTAATGGAATGATAAACATTTCAAAGTTCTTTGGAATAACTGAATAAACATTCTTTTTTGGCTTTTTTTTTAAAAAAAGGATTTATGATGAAAACGGAGAAGTTCTTCCATGGCTACAACAGAAAACTTAAAACAGCAATACAATGCAATTACCATTGACACAGCTTATTATGAAGGGAAAATTTTAAACCTAATTTCATGTCATTTGGCTATAATGTAATATTTGAATAAACTCATAAAAAAGGAAGGACAAAAGCAGATAAGACATCACAGACAACAACTATGTTTTATTTACAACTTTAAAAATGAATTTTCACATGCTAAGGATAAAAACAAAGACCCTAGATGATTATAAAATCCTAAATTAAAAAAAAGTCTGACTACTTTCTGTCATACCAAAGATACATATTTCAGTCCTCCTCTACCACCTACCAAAAGTTAACAGATGCAGTATTCTGTACGACCACTACAAAATGAAATAAATTAGTACAGAAAAAATGTTTATGTCGTTTATTTTGTTCTCATGCTCTTTCCAAATAGTCCAAAAAGCCTGATTTTACATTTGATTGTGAAAAAACTCTACACAAATGTTTACCAGCATTCCTGCCGCTTGATTCTATGTAAGATACACTACAAGCACATAGGAATATTAAAGACACACAGAGCCCACTACAAAGAGCAAATAACACAAACTGATTTCACTGTATAAGCCAGATCAAATGTTATTTCGTAGGTAACAAGAACCAGTATTCATATAAAATACGATAATCAATCACTGGATGAAAACTCTCTAAAAACTGATGAAAGGCCATAAGCATCAGGTTTCCCCCCTGTGTGTCAGAGGGAAGTTTTTATGAATAGATATCATAAGTAAATTTAGCTTATTTAAGAGGCAATAGCCAAGAGATAACACATGATTAAGAAATAAGCAGTAAATATCTTTTAGACAGAAAAAGAGAAAGGAAATTTAAGAGAAAAGCACTATGCTTTTACAAAGGATCACCAGGATTTTTGCTCTGTTTTTAAAAGTTCAGTTGCATAAGGTTTTCCAAATAGTTTTAATTACCCTGTAATCACAGCCAGTGTACTAGAAGTTACGCATAACACGGAAGTACTCCTTGAATAAAAATTTGTGGAGAAAAAAAACATTCCTTGGAATATTTGTAGCAAAACGTAATTTCTTTAATGTAAATATCACATCATTCCCAGATGTGATATTTGAGGAGAGAAACCCCAAGTTCTGTGAATCTGGACTGAAATTGTCAACACAATAATATTACACAAAATTGAATGGTTCAAATAAATAGCTAAAATAGCTATTGTTTTGAGAGTTGAAAGTGAAATGGTTTATATTGTCCTGTTACTGCAAATTGTTGGAAATGGAACCCCACATCAATTGGCTAGTGCCTGAAACCTGGTGATTAGTCCAGGTCTACTCTCCCAGGCAGCCTGCAGTGACAGCACATCTTGACAAGAGGCCTGCATGGTGCCTATCCTTTCCTCCTGAAACTTTCAAAGTCCATTATAGTATGTATACAGGAAGTACATGAACATAACTCTAGGATCTGTGAACTGCACTTACTCTAAATAATTCTCTGTTTTAAAAGAGTCTTGGCTCTAGTCATGACCTTTAGTGTTATTAACATCAGAGCATTTCCCAGTTCACTGTATAGTAGGTATGCAGGCAACAAACAAGGTGGTAAAGCTTAGTAATTATTGAAACTTTTTGACTATAGGTACTTATGTAAGTTTTTTAAAGGGTATTTTTTAAATGGTACCAATAAAATACAGAAATGTTTGTAAAGTGATATAATCTTTAAGAAGGAGAGTAAAAGGGGTGCCTGGGTGACTCAGTCAGTTAAGTGTCTGACTCTTGATCTTGGCTCAGGTCTTGATCTCACAGGAGTGAGTTTGAGGCTCACATCAGGGTCCACGCTGGGTATGGAGCCTACTTAAAAAAAAAGAAGAAGAAGAAAGAAAGAAAAGAAGGAGAGTGAAAGAATCAAAGGCCACATTTAAAACCTTTGTTTCTCCATCCCCTCTCCTATTCACAGATAATACATAGGAGAGTATCCATTAATCTCAATGATAAATGATAGTTTTGTCCCTAGGGATAAGCCAGGAGTCCCCTAAACTCAGAATCTAGAATTCAAACTTTTCCCATTCTTCACCCCACCCCCTGTTCCCGCTATCCCTAAGGACAAACTTCAGAATATTATATGACTGACATCCTCCATGGGTCAGTACATTCAAAGAGTTCTCATTTTATGCATGCCAACATAAAGAATTCTAAAACTTGGGAAAAGAACTATATCCCTAGGGAAAGTAACAATCTATAAGATTATTAAGGAGAAATTAATAATGAGAAAATGGCTTAGTGGAAAACTGCAGAAAATCAAATATTCTTAGACTAGCCCATGAATGTCAAACACAAGCTTACTAAACTATTTTCCCAAATTGTGAAAAACAAAGCGAGATGTATCTTCACAAGAAGGAATAAAAAAATCTGGAGAAATCCATTCTATTCTCACCTCCATGAAACATAGAACCACCTGCCCCCTTTGAAACCCCATATTCTCATTCTCTATAACATGAAGCCTTATATGAAGAGTTTCTCCAAATCAAATGTCCTAGGTTCAATATATTTTAGTGTATTCTGAATTGCCTTCCCTCAAATTATTTTCTTCTTTTATTCTTTGACAGGGTTCAGAAGAAAAAAAAATTTTTTTGTTGCTGAGAGAAAGAGAACATGGGGTGAGGGGAAGGTGCTACAGAGGGAGAGAATTTCTATTTATTTATTTATTTTCAAGAGGGAGTGGGGAGGGGCGCAGGGAGAGGGGGAGAGAGAATCTTAAGCAGGCTCCATGCTCAGCACAGAGCCTGAGGCAGGCTCCCTCTCACAAGCCTGAGATCATGGCCTGAGCCGAAATCAAGAGTCAGATGCTTAACCAACTAAACCACTCAGGTGCCCCTGAAGAAATTTTTTTTTAATTGCAACCATTGTAAATTCTTGAATAACAGTTGTTGAGTGTGTGTGTGTGTGTGTGTGTGTGTGTATACATACATATATACATATAAACTCTTCTAGAACTCCAAAAAGCATAAGAAAACCTGCTCCAAAGTATCCAAAGCATCCAGAATTATTTATAATAATGCAATGTTATGCTCACTTGCTTTTGATAATGTTCTAAAATGCACCTGAAATATCTGATGAAATTTGAAAAGCAACAAAAAGGTTACTTTTGTTAGCTATATAGGAATTTTTTTTGAGAAGGCATTTACTTAGTTTTAGTGGAGGGAAAATCTGTCTCCTTAGCAATAGACTCCTAATCACCTGATTTATGTGAAGGGTGAAGGTTAATGAATTAAGCTGTGTAAGCTTCAAAAACTACCAGAGGAATTCAAAAGAGCCTTGAATTATGGAAAACAATGGCCCATTCTACATACATACCAAATTTTTATGTTTTTTGTCTCCTACTCAAAAGCTGGAACATGGCATTAGTGACAATTGAAAAGAACTAATGAGGAAATATGACTACATTGCTTGCAAGAGGAGTGTCCTAGGAGACCTTGTTACTGTTTGTGATGTGCTTCAAACCCAAAAGAAGCTAATTGGAGCTGCCAGACACTGGTTTGCAAATCTCACTTTAAAGGACAGGCTCAATCACCTAAGAGGTGTGCAAAGAAATGTCCCCATTAGAGATGCATTAGTATGGGCTTGGTGAATTTCTAAATAAACTTTAGGATGTTCTTTCCTAAGTCACTTTTATATTTGAATAATAAGTATGTCTTCAAGCAGAGGAAAAAATGCAACAAGACAAAAACAACCCCACAGATTTAAAACAAAAAGTATGAAAAGGG